CTCACTATCCGGGAGAGATGGTGACTCAAATTGATTCCAACAAGCTAGGGAGTTATTCCTAACACAAACCCAGACATACCAGAACCAAGGTAGTCTTAGGTCACCTTTGGTACAACTTAGGTACAGTCACGGGTCTGAGCAGCACCACACCCTCAGGAATACTACCGGTCTACCAGGAAGTTCAGGACCGGTCTGCCCTTGGACTCACGCCACTGGCTCCCCGCACATTCTTACTGCCTCTAGTGTGCGTACTTTCACTTACTAGGTCCCTGCCTGAGTTGAGCTACTCGGCTTCACGGTCAAAATGACTTATCTGGCCAACTAAGTGCTAGGCATGCGTTCAACATGACATGAGGACGTACAGAGAATCGGTCCTTAACCAACACAGATGGGGATAAATAGGCACCAAGACCTCCATGCCTTGTTGCTTCTCTATCACAATCCCGCCCGATCTCCTTTTATTTATCAACACATAGTTATTTCCACGATAGCAAATATAGCCAACCGTGCTTTGGTATCCACCTATATCTCGCAGGTGATAGAAAATCCCCTGACTTCTACCGGTCTAAGCATTGCTAAGCATACATTCGATCATGGACCTACATAGGTATATTTGTAGACAAGGTAGTTCTATGCATCAAGTGGTTCCAATCAACTCTTATAACCTAATGCATCAAACATAAAGGACTCAAGTGATATTTGTAAGAATATAGGAGGCTTAGAATGCTCTAGGGCTTGCCTAGGATCCGACATAAGTTAGTTATGTTAGCTCGCACCGTCTTGATGACATCTCCGGTCCTAGCACTGGCTTAGTCCTTCCATCTTTAGGATAGGTGCACCAACAACGTCTTCTGGATCGACTCCATCATCACGTCCTTCACATGGTGCATCTAGCGTACCTAGATGAGATGCAATAATGCAAGTGCATGAATGCGAAGAATGGCAATATGAGATGCCTCACATAAAAGTATTCAAGATGAGCACAAGGTTACACTAAACATATATAAGCACTCCATGTTACTTAATTAAACATCCCACAACCTATCATGCTACGATAGCAAGGAGGTAGCACCAAGCATGACACAAGTTTCACAAGGTTTTAGGTATATTAACTTAACACCATCAAAGGCATGAGCCACACTTAGCAAAACACAAAGCAAAGCATGGTGAAGCAAACAATTTTAGGTACAAACATAGATTGTGAACAGCAGCACCATAGTCACTTGTTTTAATCATACCCAGAGTTCTAAGCATGCAAAAAGTGTGATTCAAGACTTGCTAGAAAGCTAATGAAATTATCTAAAACTTTGTTATTAACACCAAAAGCTGATTCAACAAATAACAAGGTCAAAATACATCATGAAGCAGAGCTTATACAACAAAGGATAGAAAACTGATATTAACTTTAGAAATGCATAACTGGAGTTCTAGACATTCAACAAACATGATTCTTAACTTTATGGAAAGATTATTAAGTTATCTATAACTTTCTCATTATCATTTTAAGATGATTCTACAGCTAACAAGGTCAAACAACACCAAGAATGCATCTCTGTCTAGACTTGGGATAAAATCTACCATTCCACTTTAGACAGCTATAACTTGAGTTCTAGACCACCAAAAATAGTGATCTTAGACATTTTAGAAAGCTTAGGAAAAAGCACTACAACTCTCGTATTATCACCAGTACATGATTCCATGTTTAAATGAGCCAAACAATACAATCATTCAGATCTATCCAGAGGACATGCAAAAACCTAACAGCAAACTTCTAAAATCTATAACTCCTAAAACATCAGAACCACCTTTTCCATTTGTGCATCTTCATAAAAATTATAACTTATTTAAAACCATTTATCAAGTAATAAACAAGTTAAATCAATAAATCAACCATACTACATCCACTAACCATGAAATTTTGACCATAGCACACACATATCATCAATAGCCTACCATAAAAATTTCACAGCAATTGGAGTACCACAACTTTAGATATGAGAATTACAAGCAAAAAGCTAAAATTGCCTATTTAACAAGATTAAATCAAAACATTATAAAAACAGTACACAACTAGTATTTTTAATATTTTTATTAGCTATAGCATGTCATCACAAGATTAACACAACAAGAACTACCATTTTTGGACTTCTATAACTCAAGATATGCATCCGACAACTTAAAAGGATTTTTAAAAGCACTTTGCAAGTATAAACAAAAACAGCAGAAACCTTCTACTAACACATATCATATTATGACTCTACTGCATAGATCTACTCTCAAGGATTCCAAAACGTCCTCATTTGCTATTTTACGATTTTTTTACTATTTATTATGATTTTCCAAAGTTACAGCCATAAAAGAAAAATAGATTTGCATCGAGGACCCCAAACTTTCACGAAAACAGATTCTGGCGAACAGGTCCTTCTAGGCACTATTCAACTATGTCACAGACTTTGCAGTTAGCCCCCTGCACTTGTTCTAATTGTTGTGCAAGGTCCCTCACGCGGATTAGAACAGAGGAGGCGGAGGCGGATCGTCGGCCAGCCGATTTCCGGCCGGTGAGGTAGTCGCCAACATCGGGGAAATGGCGGGGCAGCATGAAGGGGTCCACGTGCATCCATGGGATAGCTCGGCTTGGCCTGAGGCAGCCCTAGGTGGTGTGGCCATGGCAGCAGTGGACCGATGGCCAACGAGGACGGGCTCGGGGTCTGCCGGCCATGGCTAGCAGGGACCGGCAGCGGGGGTCGGTGGGGAGCTTCAGGAGATGGCCCAAGGTGGCCCAGCCACATGTGCCTAGAGCCTTAGGCATGGCGGCACGGCGCTAGAGTGCTCCGGTGATGTTTGGCTTGGGTGAGCGTACACGCGAGATGGAGCACGCTGAGGCGAAGGCGGTGGTGCATGCGGTGGGACGCGAGGGAGCTCGAAGGCCAGGAAACAGTGGTGGCCATGGAGCTCCACTACTCGGGCATGGTGAGCAGAGAGGCTGAGAGGGAGGAAGGGAGAGGAGAATGGAGAGAGGGAGGCGAGCGCTCGTGCTTTTCCCGTCTCCACGCAGTGTGAGCGTTGGCGAGGTAGCGAGCATGCAAGGGCGTGAGGGAGCCACATGGCCTGCGGTGCCTGCGTGCGGTCGGACGACGGCGCTGCTCCTGAAGCTTTCAAGATAGCTCAAAAATCGACTGAATCCCAAAACTTTTCCCCTCTTTATCTCCTGATCTGTTTATCCTGTGATCACGGCGCAAGAGGCAAAGTTGTAGATCTTTGTGAGGTGAACAACATTGATTTAAGGATCAAGAGCTAACTCGGCCTAGATTTGGAGATATAGATCTTCAAAGGAGGATACCCGAAAATGGAACTCTGAATTTTGGTTTCAGGCCGACTGAAACAGCACTCTTCTCCCTCTTCTAACTCCTAATTCGTTTAGTTTTGGCATAAGCTGTAGTAACCAAAGTTGTCGAGCTACGCAAGATCAACAACTTTGCTTAAAGGATCTTGGGCTGGTTCAGCATGGCTATGAAGATACAAGCCTCCAAAGTAGGGTATACGAAACTGAAAACTGAATTCAGTTAAGGGCTAAATTCAAGAAACTTTTTGTTGTTCTTGCTATAACTTTTGAAAGTCCAAACGTGCTCCAAAAGTGATGAGACTTATTTTGTTGTTTCCAACACAAAGTGTACTTCAACTCATAGTAAGGAACCCACTTGAGCTGCCATGTAAATTTGGAAGATAAAATGTCACAAGCTTGTCATCACGCTGCTACTGATCGAGGACTTAGAAAAATTTCAGAGGGGTCAAAACAGCACTGCATTAAAACTTGAGAGCACTATATGAGACACTTAGAAGTTGAATTAGGTCTTAGTCCAAAAATAAAGTTTGTTGTACTCCACTCAAACTTCAACTTTTATTTAAGGTCCAACTCCATGCAAGCACTCCAGATAGTTGGTCAACATAGGTCAAAACCATATCATGAAAAGGACAATTTTAGCTATTCCCACACATAGAAGCATTTTCTTGACATTTGCTCAACATGAACCCTTCATGACTTTTGTTCATGAGTTGAATTAGAGTTGTTTGAGAAAGGTTGAAAGGTTTGGTCGACATCTCGTGTTTCCATTTGCTAAATGAAGCAATTTAAGCAAAAATATAATTTATCATTTCATGTGACTTTTTGTCTCCAAACTCACTACTAAAAAAGTCCACATCCAAGACAATCCACTTTTGTCATAGTAAAGGCCAAAAATGTCATGGACATATATTTGTGACGATGCTATGATGAAATCATCTTCGTCATCTTTGTAGCGTCATAGCTGTTGCACCTTGACGATTTTTTGTATTTTGTCATAGATATCGTTACATCCATGACGATTTTCCCCCGTCACTGAACTGTTTCAGCCGGCTTGCAGCATACACGTGTATGGTCACAAGGTTGACACGTGTACGGCTGGTAGATTGACACGTGTTGGGCTCTTTGATTGAAACATGTTGGGCTCGTAGGTTGACACGTGTTGGGCTCGTAGGTTGACATGTGTTGGGCTAGTAGGCATTCTGTGGGCGTTGACATGGCAGCACGTGGGCGCTGACGTGGCAGCATGTGACATAATGACGTTTTTTCGTCATAGAAATTTGCATAGGCATTTGACGAATTTGAAATAATGCATAGGTACCATACATGGCCAACCTCAGCAAACATAGAAGACAGGTTCATACATCACAGTCAGACTTATTGTTCATACAACCAAAGTTCCCAAACACAGGGGAACCACAAGTTCACACACATCATTGGAACCACCACTTCACACACAAATTCGTTCACAAGTGACATAACCAACCTGCTCAGCACCAGGGAACTACATACAACTACAGAGGTACCTAGCAAGCGCAGGAACAAGCTAAGTAGCTCTGTTACCTGCATTGATGTTCAAGATGCGCTGAAGTAGTAGATCATTGGCTTCTTGTTTCTTCTTGAACTCCTCCATCTCCTGCTGGGTCCTGAGCACTACTTCTTAGGTCTTGGCCAATGCATCTTCCGTTTCTTCACCTTTCTTCTTCAAGGTGTCCAGTTCTTGTTGAAGTAGATCAGCCCACGTCTTCTCTGCCTGTAGCTGTTCCTGAAGTTGTGCTTCTCTTGCAACTGATCTAGCAGATTTTGACCCTGGTGTTTGAAGACCAGCATTCTTCAGGAATGTAGAAGCAGCACTGGTTTGTGAGAGGACCTTAGAAACAATTTCAGTACTGGATCTTGGTGTCTCTAAACCTTCAGCAGGTTGGGCCAACATATTTTCCATGGCACTCTACATCAGAGAGATGCAAATTTGATAAGTTACTTATACAGAAACAATGTTTCAAGAAAAGAAATGGAAAACATTAGATAATCCATGTTACAAGATAAGACAATCATTAGAGAACATCAGATAATCCATGTTACAAGAATGTATGTGTACACAACCATGTTACATATGAGAATATAAACTGCATATATAGCTGCATATATGTGTATGCAAGCACTTTCCATTTCAGCAAGCATATAACTGGATATATAGGTGTAAGCATGTATGACCATTTTTTCTATGTATTTTAATCCCAGCCAGCAATCAATTTTAGTCACTTCAAGCAATTTCACAAGTAAAGATAGGACCATCTAGACACATCATACAAATTGTGGCATATGATAATCGCACCCAGCAACCAATTCTGAATATAAACTGACATATGTACACAACCCATCCATCAATGAGGTGTAGGGACTTACAAGTGTCGCACCCAATTTTGCAAAGCAAAACCAAGTACTCATATATGTGCGCCCAGGATGTCCAACACACACATATATCACAAATTGCAATAATATCAAAGTAAAGTACTTATTACATCGCATATCTCATCATAAAAGTTAATACAAAGTTTGCTCAATGGCAATATTATTACAAACACAGCGGAAAAACTAGCCCAACTGCCACAGGGACTCCAACTGGTGAACGCCTTCCTAGTAGTCCTGGACATCCTCCGGAAACTCATCATATCCATTATCGTTACCCATCCAAGGATTTTCATTGGATGTAAAGCAAGTGTAAGCTCACCATGCTTAGCAAGTATAACAAAGGGATCTATGAGGCTCAAATAGGCTTGACAATTGTTTGATTGCGGTTCATAATTTTAGTTGATCAATTTTAGCAACTTTGAATTACTACTTTAATGAAACAGTCCCAATTCCCAAGTGGTATTAAAGTATCATCAAGCTTTACCTCATAACCCATCCATCCATTATCCACAGTAACCACTAATCTCGAAGGATCCGGACCGCTCAGATCCGTGGAGCACGGCTGTTATTGAGTTAATTATTTCTCGCAGAAATTGTACATCTTTACCCACCGAGCCGTGATTCCCAATGCCGGGGTTCGCGAGACCCACTACACCTCTTCCTGGGAAGTGTGGCGAGTTTCACTATGAAACCCTTAGCTAGTTGCAACTAACAAGTCGTAGCTACAAGGAATGGCACACGTGGGCATCGCGAAAGACTGGTGCGCACCCAAGCAGAAAAAGGAAAGATACCCTCTTACCCCTTCATGGAGCTATAGGCGAGCTAGTACAAACTAGATAATAGGTTAAAGTCGAGCCATTTGACACTCGGGGTTGTACGGTCCCTCCTGGGTTGCCGCTTCAGGATAAGGTCCTTATGGAGAGGCACTAGAGTACTCAACCCCGTACTCCAGCCCCCTATCTATTGCTAAAAAGCTCCATTTTACCACATTGCATATAGTCTTCAAATATGTTTAACAATTACTTCATGTTAAGTTACTGCAACATCTATCCAAAATGCCTACCCAAAAACCATAGGTAACAAGGATATGTGATACAAGTAATCATCTAGGTAAAGTCCTTAAAGGCAAATCAAATTAAACTCATGCATGAATGTAAGTGGTAGTAGTTCATAGGTAACAAGGGGCCTTTGGTACACTTGCCTTCCTCAAAAGTAAATCACAGGAGTCTCTGCTGATCTGCTTTGGGGTCCTCGGTCACCTCGAATGGCTCACCCTCTAATCGTGATCCAATCATCAATCAAGCATCATTCCAATCATTACATGCATACAAGATAGAACTCTATTAGAACAGTACACCAAACAGTGAAAACATATGTTGAAAAGCTTATAAATCTGTTCTATGCATTTCTACGAACACATGAGCGAAAGAATCACTCAAATCGGACTTAAAACGTGAAAGTTATGCATGAATTAAGATGTAATGGCAATTCTGTAAATAAACTAACCTATTTTCGAATTAAAATAATTAAAAATCTGAATTTAAATGAAATCTGGACCGGGCTTACTATTTCTGGAAACTTCAGGGACTTGAATGAATAAAAACAGGACTAAATAAAAATTAGTTTGAACTGGACTGGACCGCGGGTTGATTTCTGGAAAAAGCGGGGGCTTTTCTGCAAAACGCGCTCGGTTGACTGGGGTTGCTGACTCATCTGACACGTGGCGCACGGTGGTTCGCTCGGTGCACCACATGGCGTAGACCGGTGCTGACACAGGCTCAGTGCGCCGGGTCCATGGTTCACCGTGGACCGGCCACTTAAATCCAACCGGTACCTAATCTGGGCCATCCGTGTTAGATCCAACGGCGCAGGGGTGGGGGCCAGCGGTGGCTCATCGGGGAAGAAGGAGATGCCGGCGGCGCCATGGCCGGTGCGAGCTGGTGTTGCCGGTACGGCTGTCCAGGGCGCCAAATCATGAACGGAGAGCACAGAAAGACGGAGGGGCTCACCGTGAGTCGCTGGAGGGGAACGCTGCGTCAGGAAGTCTCCAAGGCTGGTCGTCGACAATGCGCATGAGCTAGAGAGAGAAAAGGCGCACGGGTGAGGGTGTAGCCGGGCAAAACAACGCCAAAATCCGAAATGGGGAGTACCTACGGGCGCGGGAAGATCCGGCGGTGCTTCGGGTGGCCTTGGCGTCGGCGTTCGCGCTCGGAAGGGGGGGGGTTCTCACCGGCGGCGGTAGCTCTCGGTAGCGGGCAAAGAATGGGGGAGGAAGAAGGGTCGGCATGGAGATTTATAGGCTGGCCGTGGCGGAAATGAAAAGGAAGGAAGGCGGGATTGGTCACCCTGCCATGCGGTGGGTGTGGCGGTGGCCTTCCATCCGGAAAGCGGCAATGACGGTGGCGCCGGAGAAAGGAAAGAACCGGGGAAGCAAAAGGAAGCTCGGGGAAGAAGAAAGGAAAGAAGGGTGAAGACGCTGACGGGTGGGGCCGAGGTGCAGTGAGAGAGAGAGCGAGCGGTGATGAAAAACCGAGCCAGTGGTCTTTGTGGGCAGTCTTGTGAGCTATGCGGTCTGTGAAGGAAGAAAAAAAAAGCGGGCAGGCGGCGAAATTTGGGCAGCGGGTGAAGTCTTGAGCAGTCTGCGTCGGCGTCTGGCAGACCACCGAGAGGGGCGCCAAGCAAAGCAAGGCAGGTAGGGAAGGGGAGGAGGAAGGCCGGGCTGGTTCTCGAGTTGGGCCAGTAGGTGAATTCTTTCCAAATCCAATCTTTTTCCAATTCTATTTTCTCCATTTTAAATTTTAAGCCAAATTCAAATAAGTTTTGAATTCAATTTCAAATCATCTAGCCCTACACTCAATCAAAAACCATATGATTCAGCATGAATGCAACAAACAAGTTTCTAAACTTATAGTTTATTTTATTTACCCAATATTTAATATTTAGCCTAAGTTAAAAATACCTAGAAAATGTATAAGAAGGGCAAGAATTCAATTGCTAATTTGTAGTAGAATTTTGGGTGTTACAAACCTACCCCCCTTAAGATGAATCTCGTCCTCGAGATTTGGATGGTTCAAAGAGATTGGGGTAGTCAGTTCTCAGATCTTCCTCTCTTTCCCACGTTGCCTCATCCACTGAGTGTCTGTTCCACTGAACCTTGCACATTTTTATTATTTTGCTCCTTGTGATTCTCTCTGTTGTTTCTAGGATTCTTACTGGATATTCTTTGTATGATAGATCCCCTCGGATATCCAGTTCTTCCAAAGGTAGTTGTTCCTCAGGTACTCTCAAACATTTCTTAAGTTGCGACACATGGAAGACATCATGAACACACGAGAGCCGCTCACGGTAATTCTAGGTGGTAAGCAACTTCTCCTCTCCTGTTAATGATCTTGAATGGTCCCACATACCTAGGTGATAACTTTCCCTTGGTATGAAATCTCTTTACTCCTTTCATGGGTGAAACTTTGAGATAGACAAATTCACCGATTTCAAACTCCAAATCTCTTCTTCTCGTGTCCGCATAGCTTTTCTGTCGAGACTGGGCAACCTTTAAGTTTTGTCTTATTGTTTGTACTTGTTTTTCTGCCAGTTGCAAAACATCTGGTCCAAAGACTTGGCTTTCCCCCGTTTGATTCCAAAACAATGGTGTTCTGCACTTTCTGCCATATAATGCCTCAAACGGTGCCATCTTAAGACTCTTTTGGTAGCTATTATTATAGGAGAATTCGGCATATGGTAAACTCTTATCCCAACTTGTCCCATATTGCGAGCACAAGCTCTTAGTATATCCTCCAAGATCTGATTTGTTCTCTCGATTACATCCATCTGTTTGAGGATGGTAAGTGAGCTAAAGTTCAACTTCGTATCCATTGACTCATGCAATTTCTTGCCAAAAATGTGATGTGAACTGTGTACCCCTATCCGAAACAATCTTCTTCGGTACTCCATGTAAACATACAATCCTTTCCATATATAACTCGCCAACTTTGCACTCGAATAAGTTACCTTGACCGGAATGAAATGGGCCACTTTTGTCGAGACGGTCAACAATCACCCGAGATAGAGTCAAATCCTCTCGTATGCGGGGTAATCCAACTATAAAGTCCATTCCAACTTCTTCCCATTTCCACTCGGGTATCTTCATAGGCTGTAGCAAACCTGCTGGCCTCTGATGTTCTGCTTTTACTCTTTGGCATGTGTCACATACAGCCACATGTTCGGCTACATCTCTCTTTAGTCCATACCACCAGTATCTCTCTTTAAGATCAAGATACATTTTAGTACTTCCTGGGTGTATGGAATAGGCTGAGTCATGAGCTTCCCTCAAGATAGATTCCCTAATAGGTTTTACTTCTGGCACACAAATCCTTTTACCGAACCATACTGTCCCTTGATCATCCATATGGAATCCGGGGGCTTTACCAATCACTATACGCTCTGCAATATCCTTGATCCTCTCATCACCCAGCTGTCCTTTACGAATCTCTTGTTCCAGAGTGGATTCTACCTCTAACTCCATGGTGTTGGCCA